CACAGATAGCTGGCTAACGATTGGTGTACACCAGTTGTTGGTATACATCGTTAGCTGGTGTATACCAAGCTGGTTAATGAGGCAGTTAATTTGTTCATCACTGTGTTTGTCTTCTATTCCTTCCAATTAAGCTCTCATAAATATATATATCAGAGTGTGATGAAATAACTAAAAGTCAAAAATTCTCTATAAAAATATGTGAATTATGTCCAAAGGATGTTTCGAATATTTTTCGTCAATTGAAGAGGAGAAAATTAAATATTTGAATTTGATTTGACTTCTATTCCAGATTATCTCATCTATCAAATATTGGACGTACTCGGCTGGCGTTAAAATGAATGAAAACCAAAGTGATTCGCAAGAAAAATCATCGGCAAAGAAGCCAAATTTAGACGTGGCAGAAAACCAAAATGATTTATCTGCTGTGGCTGGTCCATCGAAAGAAGAATCACCATCCGGTCTGACTAAGCTCTACATTGATTGTCTAGAAGAGCTTTTCGAATGGTTATCAATTAAGGACCTATTCACACTTCGGCTAACATGCAAGGGATTGAAAAAGATCATCGATATATACATCAAAACATCATATCCAACCATCGGACGTTTCAGATTGGAAAAATACAATTTTGATGTATTCCGTCGAATGGACGCAAGTTCAATAAATTTGGTGACTCAACTTGATATTACTGTTGAAAACAATGATTGTATGCAATTTGAAGAGATCAAAACTATTCTCCACCGTATTGAAACGATTGAAATATCGAAATTTGAATGTGAATATGATATTTACGACACTTTGCTGAGACATTGTGAAAATCTAAAATTCCTTGACATAATTGGATTACATACAAAACGAAATGAATGCTTTTATCAGTCATATCCGACTCTTCAGCACGTTTGTTTATATGAATATCCCATTGATGCAAACATTGATGGAATGTCGAAATTCGAAGCATTCTTTCGTAAAAATCGACAAATTCATACAATATCGACTTATCATGGTGTCTCATTTCTTAACCACTGCGCCAATTCACTGGATGGTGAAGATGGTGTTAAATGTAAACAGCTAAATATGTTAACGCATTATTTGGATGATGATTGTTTGAATGAATTGAAATTGTGGTACGGCAAAAGCTTTTATCAGCGTCTACATTTATACTTTACTCAAATGGAGGATGGGACCGATGTCAATGAGCTCACCAATATCGGATTAGAAAAAATATGCATGTTGTATTTGAACGAAAAATTACCGTTGTTGCCACATTTGAAGGAGATCAGATGTGGTTATGTAACGGATCGAAATTTATTTGAAAATGTGTGGAATGTGGTGGAACGTCTTCATTTGATTGGAAGTAACAACGGTGATATTGCATGGTATCTTCGACATTTTAAAAAATTAAAACATCTAAGTGTCGTTGAATTGGATCCAAAAGAAAATATCATCGATTTAATGGTACTTAACAAGGAACGAGAAGCATTGGCTGGAGCATGCAAGACGACCATTTATGTTCGCGAGAAAGTTTATTTGGCCATAAAGTTCGGAACGTCGAATGTAAATTTCAATTTGGTTGAACTCAAACGGGAGCAGTCATTCGATTGGAAAGATGTTGATTAAAAACTTTTTATAAAGATTTTTTTAATGAAATTAATTCTTTACAATTTGAAGAAAAATTATATTTTTTGATCTTCTTCATTTCTGCTCTTGTTTAGAACTTAGCTTCACAAAAGAATTGTCAGTTTCTATGGAACATTTTTCAGAGTAGAGGCAACTATTAAATTGTAATTCAGGCAGCAAAGTAGAAATAAGTTTCTATGTAAAAAAAATGTTTGAATTAAATTCTATAAAAGAAAAAATTCAATTTAAATTTGCCGCACTGATGTCATTCACGTCTTCTCTGAGAAGACGTCTCTACACAAATAGACATACCAACTCTACACAAAACTCACACCACCAAACCGCCGCCACTCACCTATAATCTGTCATAATAATAAGCTGTCAAACATGTTTTTTGTAACCTAAACGTGTTTTCATTCAGTAAAGACTGATGTGCAAAGAGAATATCAAATTTTTATAAAAAGGTGAGCATTTTTTTGTGTTTTTCATCAATATATCGACGTTTTCATAAGTGTAACGAGTGGATTTACTGAAACCAATGAAGTTTTTACAGAAATTCGAATTTCATTCGATGCAAGCTTTCATTATTACACCTCGGCCGTTTGAATATATTGATGAAAACACAATTACAGAAGTAAACAAAGACAAATGTTCATTTTTTTCTATTTTTTAAAAGATTTATTAAAATGTTACCGATACGGCGAACCTATTTCACATCGAGATTACCAAGTCTGTCATTGCCATTGAGTGACCAAATTTCAGTTGGAAAATTCCTACAGCCAACAAGACGTTCGTGTCCCCGTCGAAATCACATTTTAGGTGGAAATTTTTGCCGTTTTGCCATTCGATTGAAATTATACACAGCTGCAAATAACGATGAGCGAATCAATAGAAAACTAATGCAAACCCGATATAAAGAGGCTTCATCAAATTTCGACCTAATTGATGTAACAATAAATGATTCGCAAAAAATCCGTCTGCCATCGACTGGACAATATCTGAGCGAAAGTATCAGTAAATCTTTGAATAAATGGAAACAAAATGCGCATCATGAAATAAGAAATTTGTATAAAAATTCATCGGTGACCGATGATTTTGTCGTTGAAACGGTGCGCGGTGTCAATCAATCGTTAATCGGATGGTATTTGCAAACGTATGGCATGCAAAATACACTGGCACTCATTGAATGGTTTGGTGTCCCTTTCGATTCAGAGACACAACCAACAACACCGCTTCGGGTCGAGAATACTGCAGAAGCGCAGAAAAAATTAAATCAATTACTCGATGGATACGATATTTTGGAGAAAAAACTCCACTATAAATTCAACGATAAAGCCTATTTATTGCAATCAGTTACACATGAATCGTTCGATGCAAATTATTTGACACCGAACTATCATGGATTGGACTTTGTTGGCGATGCAATTTTAAACTATTCCATCGTTCGACATCTCTTTCGTCAACCACAGTATCTTGATGCGGACCGACTTCAAAATGTATCTTCATTGCTACAGTCAAACAGTTGCCTTGCTACCGTCTCGCTGCGACATGGAATTCATAAATTTATTCGATACACAACACCCACTGTACGCGATAATATCAACAGTTTTACGGCATTTTTGCGACAAAATCGATTCAAACCGGTTAATGATTTGTACTTTCTTGATCGGAAAAATTACGTTTTCGAAGTCCCACCCATTATACCAAGCAGTTTTGAAGCTCTTATGGGTGCAATTTATTTTGATTCCAAAATGGACCTGAACGTAACATCGAACACACTTTTGATTTTAATGGATTGGGATATAAAAAATATTTGTAAAACGAATCCGCAAACAGCGTACGTGGAATTGAATAAATTGGATTCGTCGGCGGTGTTTAGCGATCCGGTGACAGTTGCACCGGGGAAGATTCAAGTATCGGTCACATTGCCAACATTTCAAAATAAACGGTTCAATGGATTCTCTAGAGATGCTCAATTAGCCAAATGGGCAGCGGCCAAAGCAGCTGTCATTCAACTCAAAAAACAAAATAACGTATTCATACCGATCAAACATAAAGACGCATTCAAAGAAGCGAAACAACAAATTTCGTTTAACGAAATTGAATTATAATCGATAAAAATAGTTTTTTAGACAATTATTATGGAAATAATGGTTGTCACAATCAAAATGTAGAATAAAATTTTGATTTCCTCAACATTTTTGTTTATTTGGCGAAAACCGCCACAGAGAAAGTACTTTTTTAGATGATATTCACGTCCAATTTTAGTATCTGGCAAAGTTTAATCAAAGTCATTGGACTTGCATTGAAGTTCACTTTTTCTACAATATTTTTCGAAAATTTTTATTATTTTTAATCTAAATGAAAATCAAATAAATTCAAAAAAGGAACTAACATCCGTAAGTCTAACTTTTCCGCACTGTTGTCAAATTTCTTTCTTTACCGAACGAATCTTTATTTCCCGAAAGATATTGAATATTCACTGGTAGTGCAGTACTAATTAAAAAGTAATAACTACCGAATTCTGATCTGCCAATTAATAGACTATTGACGCATAAATAATTCAAAATATGTAAACAAGCTATTTTCTTTCAAAAAAAATAACATTCTGAAAGTTTGAGGCAATTCTAATACAAATCGAAGGTACCTCCCATACGAAATTTCCGTTTTTGAGTCAAAAATCGAAAATGTTGTATGGGGAATACCTCTATTTGTGATTGAAATTTCTCCCAATATGGCGAAATTATGTATTTTGGCACGACATCCACATGTTTTCATTGTGATTAACTGATGAAAAATGTATGCTTGCAGTAACTTAATCACAATTAAAACGTGTGGATCTTATTTCTCATCAAAATGGAAGAAATTTCAATTTATTTTTATACAAAAGGAAAGAATATACTTGATTGTAGGCTGTAGCGTCTATTTTAGAATACATCGTAATCTATTTAATGTTTAAGAACATAAAACTCATGTTCACAAGATAAGCATTTTTTTTTTCTTTATTCATTCCGATATTTTCAAAGTTTTTTTTAGCAACAAATTAAGATTAATAAGGCTCAATTTCCAACCATTTATGATTAGCGTCTAAAAGATCTTTCGAAACTTTACATTCTTTACATTTTATTTGAACATTCACACGACCTTTAATCAATGCCAAAATCCATTTGAAATCATTCGTTTCGACAATCATATACACCAACCAAAATGTTAACCTTTTCAAATTATTTCCAAATGCAAGAATTTCGCTTAGAGTGCTCTCAGTTAATTTTGTTCTCGAACTGTACCCTACTTGAAGTTCTTCGAGATTCGGTAAATTTTTAACAAAGTGGATCAATGTACTCTCCATTGAAAGATCATGAATTTTTATTTTTTTCAAAAATTGAAGCTTTGTTATACTTGTTGCTTCATCTAGAGCAACACCAATAATGGTTAGATCTTCAAGTTGAACATTATTTTCAACTAGAGAATCCAAACACATATTGAGATCAGTTATAGTCAGATGGTAGCTTAAAATATATAACGTTTCAATTTGTGCAATCGACTCAAACATAACATAGTTTCATCATCCTTTCGAAATACAAAATGTTCAAGTGTAAAACTAACGAGGTTTGGCACAAGACCTACAATAATTTCGAGAATGTATGGATGAGAGGAATCAATAGTGAATGATTTCAGCTGTGGATTTAATCTTACAAAATCAATATAATGACTACCGGTTTTGTCAAAATCAATATAATAATTTTTGTATTTGTATAAAGGGATATTGGCTTCTTCTAACTGCGGATAATGTCGAATGATTTCCGTTGGATTGAAATTTATCTTTTGTAAATCTAAGCATTTCAATGGTGAATTCAAATTAAAGTTAGAAATAGTACAATCAACAATGGTCAATTTTTCAAGAGTATCAAATGGTGAACGTGTGTTAAAATCTAAAGTCTCACTGGCCTTACTAATCTTCAATTCATTTAACGTTTTGCCACACAAATTCGAAATCAAATTTAAAGTATCATTTTCATTGCCATGTTCAGGCTTGAAGTCGATTGATTTCACTGATGGTCCGAAAAAATTTAAAAATTTCTTTGCGCGCGTTAGATCTAACGTAATCGGATCAGTTACATTACAAATTCGTAACATTTCCAATTTAGATGGAAAGGCCGTCTTTGCACTTTGTTGAAACCAAAGACATGTTTCAGCCACATTCAGATAGTCACGAGGATGCGTAATTTTTTGGAAGATGGCTTGAATGCAATCGTCATTAAGTGCATTCAATATATGACTTGGAGAGTCATTTGCGGCTGGTATGTTCAAGTCATACAACACACGGTTTAGACCAAATTTCTTTATTAGACCAATAATTTCCGTCAGATGTATAGTGTGAAGATTCACTTGTTTCAAATAGAAAAACATCAGAAAATCCTTAAACGCTTCAGGAGATGTTGATGCCAATTTGACGTCGCTCTTTACTGCCGCCTCTCCATAAAACATGTCATCGAATACACTGCTTGCCTTTGATAAAATGCATTTATGTGCTGGTATACGCTTTTTCTCCTCTCCGCACACAAAATACACATCGGCTGATCTCTCATTTAGGTACAAACTTCCGATTTTTGTTGCCGGTAATTTATTCCCTTTAATTAATTTCTCGGTTGTGATGGTTTCTCTTTCCAATCGTTGACCTTTGGCTGGACGTACTTCGGATAATGCCATTTTTAACGAGCACAAGAATTGATTGAGTTGAATTCACCAAAAAATTCAAATAATTTTAACAAAATGATAGTTTTTCACTGCGTTTTTCTATGTTTCACACCCAAATGCACATACGAGACTGATGTTTCAGCATAAGATCATTTTCAAATGCATCTAACGACCACTGACGCACACACAGTTGACTAATTACACTTTTATCGTGTCATTGTGTTAGTCTTATTTATGATGTTGAAGTCATTTGTATGAGTTGTGACGAAGTGGAGGATATCAGTTTAACAACGACAATACTATCTTAGAAGTGTTATTTATTTGCAAAATGGTATCGTTCAATTTTTATGCGATCTAAACCTTTGTCCTCTTAACCAATGTAACCAGCAAACCGCAAACAGTGACACTCACACATATGCTTAATTACATTGTCTCATGTGTAGTTGATTTGTCTATTTTCGATCAAATTTTTATAATTATGGGAGGAGATTGAATTCTGAAAATAAATTCAAGATTCACAATTTAAAATGTTTGAGTCAGATGAGCGAATTCCAACGCACAAAAGTTTCTTGGCCACCATCAGTGATGTTTTTGACACCATGTTCAATGATACATGGAAAGAGAAAACCTCGGTCAAAATTGTGGACGCATCGATGGCCGAATTTATGGAATTTCTGCAGTTCTTCTGGGGCTATGATCTCGCCATTCTTTACAAACAAGAATTTTTGAAAAACTATTGCGAAATAATGATCGCCATCACAGTATTTTTGTCAAATAGTTTCCTTGAATTTAGCAAAGATGTAATAAACAATATTTTGCAGATGAATGCGTTGTCTTGTTCAGAAACGGCAGTTTTTGAAGCATATATGGCATTGGTGAAATCGGCAAGCCAACAAGACGAGCTTACCAGAGAAATCGGGAGATTCATTCAACAAAATTCGTTTTGCAACAATGACGCCAGAGGAATTTGCATCATTCGATCCATCGTACGAAGAACTATTCTCATTTAGTGAACATAGAACAATTTTTAAAAAGATTTTATTGAAAAGTGCCAATTCAGAAAAATGACAAAGAAAGAAATTCGATGGTTCATCGAATAAAATATGTTCTGGTTATCGAGTCATAGATACATTATACCACCTATATACCATCGATATACCATAATTCATTAAAAATAAGGAAACAGCAAAATTTTCGGTCAATAAACCACTTTTGTTAAGTGAATTCGGGTATGGTAAACTATACAAATACGATATACGTGAAGGAGAGTATGAAGCAGTGACCATCGCTGAAATTTCAAAGCTGTCTGATAAAGAAAGCATTCTCCATTCTCAAGATATAAACATTCAGCGCAACAAATTTAGCACAGTAAAATTGGTTAAACCGATACTCATTCGACCTCGATTCATATATGCCATTCATACGGAAATGTCACCTGAAACTGGTTGTACTGGCAGTTTGTTGAAATTTGAAGTGAATATAAAGGATTCGTATATCATTGTACAATTTCATGACGATCCGACCATAGATAATTTTGCTAGAGGTTTAATTCACGCTCTCGTTTTTTATCACATTTAAAATAAAGAAATATTTTTTTATAAATCCAAAAATTATCTTATGATACGTTGAAGAGCCTCATGTAAATTGAACGAGTAAATAAGAGAATGATTTTCGACCCAATGTAAAAAGCCTCTCTATTTATGAATGCCGGAACATTTCCCAAGAGATCGTTTTTCCATGGAAATGTTCCGTAGTTCGAAAATCTACAAAAGAATATTAAGAAAAATAAAAAAATCGCTCTTTCTTAAATGATCTTTACATTTTTAGCTGTGTATATGAAATGTGTATATGACAAGGTGTCTGTATTTCAATATTTCGAAGTATCCCCAGTCGTAAGAACCATATTATCAGTGGTGTGTAGGTAAATGTGTAATAATTTGATGCTTTATCATTTACGTTGAATAAATACAGTTGTGTAAACATACAATGTGACGCCAGGTGAAAATTTGGCCTAAATTATACAAAAATGAAGCAATTTTGTGAAAAGAGACCTTGTAAAATATATATGTGTGTGGCGTTTGATTTTATTCATTACTTCAAAGTTAATCAATAAAATATCAATTCTATCGTGTTTTTTACTTTTTTTCCACATATTAATACTAAAAAACTCAAAAATATTTGGGTCGCTTCCTACAATTTGTTCTTTTAATTCATCTTCATCGTTCTTAGTTTCAAAATTCATTCAATTTTAATAACAAAAAAATATATTTCCCAATTCAGTCACAAAATTTCTTTAAAAAAAACTTAAAAAAGCCACGCGATCGAGTGTTTTATTTGGATCATCAAGAGGTTTTTTGTCATTCTAATAAAATAAAATCAAGGAAAAAGTCTGGGTACCATGGATTCGTCCCAAATCACAATCACACCATCCCGCGATTCGCCAAAGAATATTTTGAATTTGCTCAACGACGAATGCATTCAAGCAATTCTGCGTAAATTAACGAACGTCGGTGATTTTTTGAGTGCCGCCGAAACGTGTACACAATTTCAAGAGAATGCAAAACAATGTTATCCGCCGGAATTCAAAGAGTTTTCTATTGATAATGAGTACATCAAATGGAAGCATCCACTCTCTATAAAATGTGCGCCAAGTTTTCTACGGATCTTTGGGCATTTAATCCAGTCTTTGGAATTAAAATACAATGGTGTCGATCAGAAGGAAAAAGAAAATTACACCAAAGTGCTCAAAATGATTGAAAATCACTGTGGTCGTTCATTAATCGAATTGGTTGTCAATGGTATTGACATAAGTTCGACTAATTTCTCCAAGTTCCATGTTTTAGAAAAATTGAATATCTCATGTTGTTCAATGATTGCCATGGAATTGCCACTAAAGCTAAAGGTATTAAAATTGAATTACGTCAAATGCGAAGAAAAATTCGAATGGCATCAAAACCATGCAATACATTTAGAAGAGGCTGAATTTTACAATGTCGATTATCTTGAAGACTCCACATTCATCGAATTTCTAAAGTTCAATTCGCAATTGCAACGTTTGACGATAAATCATTGTGATCATTTGACACCGTCCGTATTCGAGGAAATCAGTAATCTGGTTCCAGATTTGATTGAATTGAATATTGGCATAAGACCCATTTTTGGATATCATTACAATGGTTTGGTGACACAATTGGGAGAATTGAGACAGTTGAAATGCTTAAATTTCATCGCATACAATCAATCGATAACATCACTTATCAATACACTTGCATGGAACAACCTACCAATAGAAGATCTAACAATCAACGATGCACGCTTTGAGCTCGAAGATTTATTGAAGTTGAAACAACTCAAACGATTGGAATTCAGCCGATGTACGACAATTTCGAGCGATGTATTTGTGAAAATAGTGAAGAATTTGCCGGTTTTGACGAAAATTCAGATTAAATCGAACATCAGTCCACATGAACTAATTAAAGCACTCGAATACGGCAAACATTTGATTGAACTCAAAATTTTCACGTTCGACATGCACATCGACTTACATACGTATGAATCGATTTTGATGCTAATCAAAGGCCAGCTTGAACTCACTGTCTACGACGGAACAATTGATGTGGACGATGACATTTTGGTGAAAAATATACGTAAATTTAAAATTATTCCGGAAAAGAAAGTCGAAGAGTATTTGTGACCATTTCCAAAATTATTTCGACTACCAATGAGAAGTCTCTTTTTCTTCAACGAAATAAACATTTTTTTTTTAAATATAAAAATGCGTTTCGATTAAAATTTCTTATTGATTTTGAATAGTTTTTTTAATTGGAAAGAAAGACAATTTATGAATTGAAAAAAAAGACATTTAAATCGGCCGCTAAATGTCATTACAGAGTACCTAGCCTACCTGTCATTACAGAGTACACGTACTCTACAAAAATACACATACAAGCAAATCGTGACTCTCCAATTACCTGTCAAATGCCAACAGTGTAGCTGTATGGATTGATGCACTTAAATATCCTTACATATGGTTGTCATATGTGTCCTTAGTAATTCATCGCGTATTTTCGATACCAAATAAATTAATGTCGAATAGCTTTTCCATTAAAATACTTGTTCCTTTTCAAAATAAATAATTTTGATTTTAATTTAAACATTTAATTGCTAAAGAATCATTATTTTTTGCGTGATTCAATTCTCTTTTAATTTGCTGAAAAATATCATATCAGTTTGTGTAGATTACGCATGTACACAAGAAAAGTATTAAATTTCCCAGTTGTCGTCCATGTTTAAACCGAACATTCATTCTATTCGTGAATTTGTGATCATTTATTTCAGTTGTGATTCGTTATAATTTTGAAAACGTTTTTTTTTTTTCAATTTCAATGAACATTTTCTTTGAATTTATAATAAATTTAATTTGAATATCATTTTTGTTTATTTCTAGTTTCGCTATTTAATTGGATTCACTGTGTAATTTGACGTTAAAATGTTTTGCGATGCACTAATACAGATAGTTCCCAGTAAAAAAAAGACCAAATCGGTTGCGAAAGTAATAGCAAAGGCATACTTACTTAAAAATTACTATTCCATTACTCTACAATTCCTGATCCATTCCTTCAATTCATTTTCCATTCTGTTCCATTATGCATTGATTAATTTCCATTTTTTCCATTCTTTTCTTCTGATCAACTCTAGGTAATAGATGATCGCCCGCTTAAAAAATTTCCATTAACTGAGCTAAACATCCAATGCTTACACGAGATCTTCAACTGGTTACGAATTGAAGACTTATTAAAACTTCGGCGAACTAGCTGGGAAATGAAATTTTTAGTTGAAATTTACATCATACGATGCTATCCAAAATTCGGTCGATTCAGAATGAATAATTTGAATTATAAGATTTTATGTAAAATAGATGCCGGATCACTTAAACTGTTTACTAAAATTGAAATGGAAAAAACCGTTTTCCAAATTTTTGGCATAACGCCAGATGTTCTATTTTCAAAAATGTCGAAAGCTCTCAAGCATATCGAAATGGTTAGCATTGACGAATTCAATTTTAAATCATTTGACATTTTTCATGTTCTAAATTATTGTAAAAATATTAAATGTATTAAAATAACTGGACGTGCGATAAAAAGAAATTTCAAATTGTCAAGTCGCCGATATCCGACCCTTGAACACGTCGCCCTTTATGTTGGCCTATTTGACCGACATGTTTATGGAATTTCATCTATTGGACGATTTTTCCGTGAAAATCCACAGATTCATACATTTTCCACTTATGGCATACATCTTGATGAGTATGAAAGACGATTGGCAAATGCGGGCATCAAATTTGATCAGCTGACTATAAGCCATCATGAGATGACTGATGAAATTTTTGAAAAATTGAAAAAATTGCACGATAAAGGATTTTATCGGCGTTTACATTTTTACGGTTACAAGGCGACTGATGAAATAAATGCAGATTATTTAAATATTGGATTGGAAAAGTTGTGTGTTATGGGTATTCATTGTGATCTGCCACCGTTTCCAGATTTGAAAGAAATCAGATTCGATTATTTTACGCATCCAAGTAATTTTGAAAATGTACGCCATAGCTTGGAACGTATCCATTTACGAACCATGCATAACTTCAATCGCCTTGAGTGGTTTATATGCCATTTCCCAAAAGTAAAACACATTGGAATCAGTAATGTGACATTTAAAAATATTTATAGACATATATACATATATATGGAAGGTGTCATCGATTTACCAGCACTAAACAAAAAACGAGAAAAATTGGAAGGAGCATGCAAGACGACCATTTATGCACAAGAAGACATTTACTTGGCCACAAAATCACAATTCGATCAATTAACATACAGTATGATTGAACTGAAACGAGAACAGACATTTGATTGGAAACATGAGTGGTTGGAGCACAAGGGAAATAAAAATTTGCCTAGATATGACGGAGATAAAAGCTATACAACAATGATATTAAAAGGCGCTATAACGGCGATCACTTCAATCATTACTTTATTCGATATGTATATTGCTTTATTTGAATTTTTATGATAAAATACTAAAATTAAGTAATTAATAGGAATTCTTGTCTAATACAAAATAAACTGCTTGCGATTTTTTTACTTCTGAAAAATGTTGTTGTTTTCTTTCTATATAAAAACTTTCATTTTGGGCATATCTTCAACATTTTCCAATATTAAAACATTTTAGAATCAATAAGGTGGTCGATTTATTACCACCAAATGAAAGAAGCATCGATTTAATGGTGCTTAACAAAAAGGTAGTTTTTTTTGGACGAAATTCACAAAATAGAATGTTGAACGCTTGGAAATATATTCTGAACTGAATGATGTGCAATCGATGAATACTCAAGTTACTTTCGGCATTTATTTTCAAGTGATCACTTGTAAAGAGAGTCGCATTAGTCAGGTGAGACCGCTTATTGCGTCCGAATGGAGAGTAAGGGTGTTTCCAATTGCAGTAGAGTTCAACAATCCAATGGTTTTTTTCATTCATATCCAGTCGGTGCATATAGAATCTCAGTGCATTAACTTTGCAAAAAAGTGCAATATCTTTATTGTCACGGTTAACCACATACAAAATGAACGTATCGCCTATTAATTAGAATTGCGTGTTCAAAGAATTTATATGCAATTATGATATTTTTCTGAGAGCAATTGGCTATGAGTCTCGACGTCAGCTTTCCTACTGAAAATTCATGCAAGTACTATATGTGATACAAATGTGTTGTTAATTCATCAACTACACAGTCACTGAGCTGAGTGTACATTTTATCTGTGTAATAGCATTCAATGTCAAATAATCTCATTTTAATAAATGAACAAAACGTAATGGCAGTTCGAATTTTGGTGTTCAGCAAAAATGTTGTCGTTGCAAGTTCATGGCTTCTTTAATTGATATTATATTAAATGTCATTGGCCAATCCAAATCCGAATCTTGTTGTAAAAACATAAATTGAATGAATGAAATGATTTCTAAATTTTGACATTTTTAAAATAAAAAAAAATTAAATGAATTTGGATTGATGTTAAAATTGAAAATGGACGATTATCAAAGTATTGTGAGTTCTTTTATTTATTCTGGCAGATTGAGAATAAATTCATTCTGATTAAAATCACATGGCAAATTTGTTTTTGGTTCCTTACCTATAATTGATGGCAATGCTCCTCCTGTGTAGAAAATTGGTCAATTCCTCAACTTCATCACAATATGTCATGTGGTTGAATGTTTTGTAAACGTTTTCTAGACATTTCATATTTGAATTAATAAACCAACTCATTGTTTTCGTTTCCTTCTTTATTTATGTTTAAAATAAAATAGCAACTTACATTAAATGTTGGAACTTATTGAAATATATGAGCTAACTGTAATTTTAATGTTACATTGCTTTGTGTTGAAACAAATAGTGTTCTTTAAAAAAAATAAAGTTGAAAAAAAGTATGAATTTTTGGATTGAAATTATGAAATTTGAGGCGATTTTCAAATGTCAAAAACCTTAATATTGTAAGGTTGACCATTGAAGCGATCGAGTGGTTGTGTAAGCGGTGACCACCTCACCGATTTCACTACACCATGTCATTCGGCCGTATTTTGTCAAAAACGAGACGCATTTTTCATTGATTTCCTGCAAATGCTCTCTTGCTTTCACCATGTTTGTTGAAATGAAAATATAATCTGGATCTGATGCCAACTGCTTACGTTGCAATTTTGAAGCTGATGGCCCTTCACATCGTTCGCACTTGCAAATGGGTTTGCCTTGTGCAAGCAATATTTTTTGTCGCTTTTCTTTTGGTTCCAACAAAAACTGAGAGACGGAAATTCGCAGAGGTTCGCCACGCTTGATCGGCCGAAGTGTGTAATAAACCAATTTGTTGTTAACGGTGGTCAAATGTACATTTGGTGCACATGAATGACCAAAATACTTATGAATCACTCCTGTCATGCTGTCTAACATGACTTCTTTATCTCCGAGCACCGTTTTGGTGCCGATATCGATAAAAGCATTGTTCTGTGAATTGTAAAGTTTAATTAAGCTGTGTTGAGCAATGAGATGCATAAGAAAACGACGCTTGCGCTGAGTGTTGAACATTGCGCCAACTTTGGGAATGTCCATGAGTATTTTGTACACCGGATAAACGTCCATTGCTCCGAGTAAATATGGTAAATATTCAGCATTGAATCGACATCGGAGAAATTCACGGTAGTTCAACTTTGCATCTGTTATATTAGCTGGTGGCTCAGTCGCATTGTCCTTTTTGTTCTCTTCTACGAAATTCATTAGCTCATCAACATTTGCAAACATACCGATGGCTTTCAAAATGCTTCGAACATTTTCCATATTATCCACTAGCTCTCCCATAACTACACCACATTCATATTCGTGAATTGAGCTGCGTTGACATTCATCAGAGCAAAACATTGCGATTGTGCACTTTTTGCAAGGTATCAAATTGGTTGTAACATTTTTCAGGCAAATCGTACATTTTGAACCATATCGCATATGCAAGCACGTTGTAAACGCTTCTTCGATGGCAATCGTTTGACCCACGTCAATGTTTTCTTTGGCAACTACTGAATATTTTCCGTTCTCACCTCGCTGAAAATTGACCGCATTTGCTAAATAAGGATATGTTTCATCCGGTTCGAAGCTTAACTTCGGTTCATATGCCGTAGGCACCATACTACCCGTTTTGATGGCCTCCAAGCAGGCATGCTTTCGTTTTTCCAACTTTTGCAACAAATTCTCGGGGTATCCAGCTTCAATGGCCAAGTCAATATCAATAAGACACTCGTTGTATCGTTTCAACTTCAGAAAGCAACTGGATCGATTGGCATAAGCCAAACTGATGTGCGATGATTTTGGTTCGGCAAAACATAAACTCTCGTTGTACATGTTTATTGCATCATACAATTTGCCTGCATCGCAGGCTGCACGGAATAATTCGTTTCCAATCATTCGTTTTTGCAGTGCGACCGAATCGTTTTTGTTGAGCGTTGAAGATATGTCATCAAGCAAATGTTCGTCAGACATTCTAAGTTTTTTCAAACTTATTCCGCAAAAATCCACATACATCGCACTTTCTTTTGTCGACTCTTTCTTCCACAACATGATGACTTTTGAATACGTACAAATTTTTCCTGAAAATTAAATTTTTATTACTCTATTGATTGAAATTGCATCAATTCAAAATGAAAAAAAAAAAACAATTTCTGAATTATTTTGTACATACAATTAATATTCGAAATTTTATGCCACAAATATTATTATAATTCAAGTTTTTGCATCAGTTTGATGTGTGACTTTGAGTGGGAATCGCTTTCTTTCAAGATGGCGAATTACAGAATTTAATGAAATGATGACTTTGCATGAAATGCTGGTCTGTGTATACGGTGTATTCAAATCGCACACACACACGCGTAAAACCTAAGATTCAAGGAAACAACATTTTGCAACTTTACATGTTAAAGTATTGGAATGCTTTTTATATGATCGCGACGGCAATACTTATGCAAATTTTGTGATTTTACGTTGGTGTGTGATCGCGTTGACATGTTGAGCATGGAAATGAAACATATTTGGTTGGCATTACTTTTAGCTCGTAGTTCTGTTTGTGTAAAATCTTGAACTTTTGAAATTTGGCGAATGCAATTTTTTTTTTCAAATCATAATTTTTTTTTAAAATGTAGAAAATTCTTCTTTTTTTTCATTGTTTCATAACCGTAATCGAAACGTCACAGCAATGTTTTTCGCATAAAATATTGATTTATTCCTTTAAACCGTTTTTGGCTTCCATTTAATTTTTTTACTGTTCAACGAATATTATAGTTTGAATAAAATGACGTCAATGACATCACCTACAACAAACACCTATTAAATTATGAAAAAAAATTAGAGATGACAATCCTTATTTTATATTTTTTTGTAAATTTCTTGTGACTGAAGTGCTGATATTCAATTATAACAAGAAATAACCGCCAAAACCAATTGATTCTGATTCATTAATGAGAGAAGACCAGCTATCGAATGAATAAGCTGAAGTGAATGAATATGTTTGAACAGAATTGCGTTTTTTGATATTTTTTTGAGAGCACATATGAGTTTCATTCAGTGTCGACGTCAGCTTTTAACTAAAAATGCGTGCAAGTTTTCTATGCTATCTCTCTCTATGTTAATTAAAATGAAATATAATTCATCTACTATGCTACTTTGTTACTGAGCTGAGTGTACATTTTATCTGTGTATGGTATTCAATGTCAAATATCTAAACTGCTTCATTATAATAAATGTATACAAAATGTAATGCCAGTTCGACTTTTGGTGTTCAGCAAGTATGTTGTCGTTGCGAGTACTTCTGTTCATTGCTTCTTTAATTTTTATTATTATATTAAATGTCATTGACCAAGCCAAATCCAATGAGTATAGAATTGTTGAAACCATCACCGGAGCAATTCGTGGCAGGCGAAATGTGACATTATTAAAAGAAGTTCCGTTTTATTCATTCAAGGGCATACCGTATGCTCAGCCTCCGATAGGTGAACTTCGATTCAAGGTGAGATTGCAATTCAAAGCAAACATATTGAAAACTGTCGATTATTTATTTGTACGAATAGGCACCAAAGCCGGTTGAATCGTGGAAACCAAATGTGTTGGATGCATTTGATTTTGGCGACATGTGCACACAACCGTTACTTCTCTTGCCATCATCATTTCCACAAAGTGAAATTTGTTTGACTTTGAATATTTACGTCCCGGGTAATAAATTCAGCTATTTTTGTCGTGGAAAAATTAATTTGCATTTGTGCATTCAACATTTTAGATTCTGATGTGAAATCAAAGTTGGCCGTACTCTTTTTCATACACGGTGGCGGGTATACAGAAGGTAAAGGTGTCTTTTTTTATACAGAAGATGAAATTAAAAAACAACAAGTTTCTAGTTTTCCATTCAAAAATGGAGAATTTTATGGATATTTGTGCTTTTATTTGGAAATCTGATAGATACGAAGTAAAAAAAAATATTGGCCCATTACGGGATCGAACCGTAGACCTTCGCGTTATTAGCACGACGCTCTAACCAACTGAGCTAATGGGCCGATGAATTTCACTCGATCAAATAACACTCGCACACAAATTAAGGACACTTTTCAAATGAAAAATATAAAAATAGATAAATTCAAAGATGAAGGAATAGGAACAAACCGAAAACGATGTTAAAGCTTGATGATAAAAAAAATTAATCTCTTTTACTTTACAAATTCAAAATCAATTCGTAAAGGTTCCTATCACGACTCAATTTTCGGTCCGGATTTTATCGTTGAAAAAGAGACAATTTTGGTGACCATTAACTATCGATTGGGTGCATTTGGTTTTTTATCACTTGATTCGCCGGAATATTCCGGTAATATGGGTTTGAAAGATCAGCAGCTGGCTTTAAAATGGATTCACGCAAATATTGGCCGATTTGGTGGTGACAATAAACGAATCACTGTTTTTGGTCAAAGTGCCGGTATAAATGCGATTTTTTTTAACAAAAACAATTTGTAATAATCAATATTTCCACACACAATTTTTAGGCGGTTCGGCAACAAATTATCACATGTTATCAGCTGAATCACGTAAATATTTTAGAAATGGAATTTTAATGAGTGGATCGGCTTTCAACTACTAGGCGTTATCACCGGAAAATAATCATTTATCGCGCCTGTATCGAATTTTGGAAGAAATGGGAGAACCAAACAAATCTTATGACGAATTGGTGGATTTTTTGAAAACAGCTCCAACTGAACAATTCACCAAACTGGCAGCAATCAATAACGAAGATAATGTGCGATTCACAATACCATTTGGGCCAATTGTTGAAAGTGAGTGACATTTCTTACTGTCTTGAATTTCTGAATATGAAAAACATTGTTCGCGATATAGGAAGTGATGCAAAGCATCCATTCATGATGAAATCTCCAAAGGAACTTTACAAGACATCGAAGATAAACATGGACTCTATGTTCACGGTTACACCTGTTGTACGTGTGTTTAATCAATGCATTTCAATTAAAAATCTCTTATTGAGAAAAGGAAGTTTTGGATGACCCTCTCCTTTAATCTGTTTTTTAATGAAAATAAAGGAAATGATGTCGCTGGTATCAAAACCATCAGCTGCAGTCTTGGCAAAGTTGAACCTTAATTTTAATCCTCCGCTGCCGTTTCAAAAACTAAATTTATCACTGGAATCCAAAGTAAGTTCATACAGGCGGTACAACGTGCATTTTAAATCAGAAAAATGTATATATTTCCAATGCATTTTCACAGGAGCATCGCAGTTTAAATGATGAAATCCGAAAATTCTATTTTGGAAATGATGTCATCGATGAGCGTTCAATACCGCAATTTTTCGACTATGTGTCCGATTTGAATTTGGCATGGGGCATCGATAAAGGTGTTAAAATGCAAGCGACACACTCACAAGCCAACACCTATTACTTATGGTATCTTGTTTAACACTTCCATCATCGCCAAATAATAACCGCGCACATCAACATCATAAGTAGCTTGAAAAGTATATATTTTAAATGTTTTTTTGTGCTATTTTCTATAGGTTTTCGGTTGATTCAACACTAAATGCATTCAAAAAGTTGAATATATTTGCACGTGATATTATTTTCAAAGCACCTGGCGCTGCTCATGGCGATGATTTATGTTATTTGTTCAGGTATTACTTTTTGCCAATTATTTCGGTAATTTTCTTTTTCTTTTGAAGCAAACGAACAGCTTTCATTTTAATCTAATCTAATGAAATTGATTTACAGATGTGGCTTGGCCCAGTCGTATTACGAGCAAATCATCAATGACAAAAGTGATGAACAGTCGAAAATCAGCTTACGAACAATTGACTACATCACAAAATTGTACACTAATTTCGCCAAATATGGGTAAGACACAGATTTGCGATTCGAATCGAAAAAAGCCATGTTCTAATGATTTTTATTGAAAAATTATGCACCAGCAAACCAACACACCAACATGATCCGATCGATGGATTCAAACCGATTCAAAATAATGAGATACATTTTCTGGATGTTAACAATGATGGATTGAGAACTGGTTTATTTCCACATCAAAGAGTATTCGATTTTTGGTCAAACATCGAAATGAGAGCAATTCAGTTCACCAAAGAATCGACACAAAAACGAGATGAACTTTGATAAAAAAGATCACGAAGATTAAGAAACGTTTCTTTAATGTAGGTTTAGATGAATAAATAAATGCTTTCAAACAAATTTCAGTGCTGCGTTGGTATTTCATTTATGATTTTTTTTCCAGAGTCATTCCAGATTTCATTCGATTTGAATCTACTCACCAAGCTCAGATTTAAATGCATCAAGTCCAGACAGAAATGTTAAAACCAACCACAACCAGTTACGTTCTAGTAAAAACCTAAAGTGTTCTTTAATATGTTGATATTATTGCCATTAGGTTCACCTAACAAATTGCAACGATTTAAGCAATCACCGAATTGAAAGACACGAGAAAATACTTGACTTCTTTTATTTTTGCAATGTTCACGTGCTCTAATCGTCCCAAAAAATGTGTCAACAGTGCGTTCATCCAATTTATACCAATTAAAGTTATTCTTCTTCTGGCAGTTGTTTGTATTATGTTTTGAAACCGAACTAATTCACTTTATTTACAAACTATGTAGATGTGAACTGGAACTGAATTTGAATGCAATTTCGGTTTAAAACAATCAAAGTGATTGAATCCATAATAATTGATTGGCACGATTGCGTGTTTAGAGATTCGATGTGAATTGAGTCAGATGCCCGTATAAAAGTGTTGCATTCCTTTTGATAAGTTCTCAGATCAACATCAACTCTCTTATTGTCTTTTATTGTGTTTTCATACTTGTTTGCGGATTTTACTCGTGTACTAAGTAGATGTTGTATTCTGCTATAAGTTATATTAGAAATGTTTCGATTCATGATCATTGTTCAAGTGTTCAGTGGTGTATTTAACATTTTAACATGTGTTAGGTTAGTTTTGAGACTAAATTCAGACGTCCGCCATTTGAACAAAAAACACACAATATTAAATTCATTTTTATTGGTATAAACCTTTATTCATAGGCTATCGAATAGCACATTCACTTTACATTGAACGGGCCATTGTCTTCGATTTTTCTCAGTATGCGTCGAACCATCAAAACTATGATCTGGACAACCGATTTGTCCATTTCTTTCAACTTTCTCTCAATCCATCCAACCAAATGTTGCTCGTTTCAAGTATTTTGGACCTTCGCCTATAACATAAATCCAAAAACAGACGAGTAATAAATAATTTGGTGTCTTTTTGTGAATTTTTAAAAATGGTCCTTTTTTCATGGAAATGCTATTTTTCAAGAAGTGAGCCCTTATTGTGGTTTTTTCTGCTTGCAAAACACAATTTTGTCTTTAATCCGATAGTTTTCAAGGAATTCTATCGATTTCAATAATATTTGGTTGATAATGGAGCAAGTAATGTAGGTTTAACCCTCCGTTTCAGCACTAAATTTTCGAATAATGGCTCTAAAACACCTTCCAAAGAAGATCCTACCATACAAACGCCACTTTATCGAAGTTCGGTTTGTCGACGTCTCTAGCTTTATATAGTAGTGCCCTAACATAATCAATGCGAAAGAAACCACTTGCACTTGATCCGTGGTTCGATATAGCGCTGAATGTTTCACCGTCCAAAATGATGAATTTTTCAGTGCAACATGAGGTGAAGTAAACACCCAATTTTTGACACCCTTTGAAATTTTTTCGTAACTTATTTTGCTGATTACTAATGATCGTGTCTAGATCTATTGTTTTGGTTCAAATTTGGATGTGCTGTAACCATAAAAATCACCAAAACTGAATATTTGCTTGACCAACCCGATTTTTAGCACTTGGTGACAATGTTGAAGGGTTTGAGCATTTAAATTGGGAATACGACCGGACTTTTGGCTTTTTCTAGAATCTTTATATTCATATTAAGTCCATGAAACACGATACATGGTTCGAAGACAGATTGATTCATCTTTGGTCACTTGCAGAATTTGTTTTGAACTTAGCTTTCCAAAACCATTTGAGACACTTTTTCGTAAATCCAATTTGTACGACATTGCGAATGGATGTATTTCGTCGAATTGAGTTTGATAGTAGTCTTGAGGTACTGATAAACGTGCCATGTGCATTGTTTGATATTTTGGTATTTGTTATTGCAGTGTAATAAACGCTGTAAGTTGTGCCAATTTGAGTGATACACGTGTTACACAGAACTCAGTATGTTTCAACAATGTGTTTACATGTGTTAACAAAATTCATTTCAATTATTCGACGTAATTCGTTAGAATCGACGATATTTTACTTTTCCGCACACACCTAGTGTGTAAAGTAAACTATTGGAATCGGTCGAAAAAATTAACACCCATCAAAAATGTGTTTTCAGGGTGTTTTTGGGGCCAGGGAACACGAATCTAGCGTTTTTTTTGTTTCCGAATGTATGTCCGTACCCTGTACCCTGTACAATTTGTCAACACGATAACTTTCAAATAAGAAAAGTAATTCAAAATCTGACTTCACAGAATGATTGGGGGTGCCGAGGAATAGAAACCATTAGATTTTGAATGACTTTGGTTGATAGAGTGACGTGTCATGTCTGGTGTGATGCCCATGGGCATCCATGGGAAAAATTTAATTTCTCTTCCAAAAGTGATATTTAATGTATACGAGAAAACCGAATATGACGTTAGTCTTGCGATACAAATATTTTTCGACAAACTTTTCATACAAAAATTCCAGAAAAATTGGATTTTTGTATGATATCGTAATGAGCTGAAACTTTGCACAGGTTATTTTTTTCACACAAAAATAAAATTCCGAGGGTTTGAAGAGATTTCAGTGGATAATAGGGGTACCTCCCGAACAAAATTTTGGATTTTTTGCTCAAAAACGAACATTTTGTATGGAAGGTACCACTCAATTGTATTGAAATTTCTTCAAACTTTCAGAATGTTAGCTCTTTGTGAAAAAAAATAACCTCTGCAAATTTTCACATGATAACGATATCATACAGGCATTGAAAAGTCTAACAAAAATTATTTGTATCGCAAAACTTATATCAGATTCAGTTTTCTCATGAATTCATATTTACGGTAAAAGATACGTAATGAATGCATAAATTCACATTACGGATGTAAGACATTTTATTTTTGCTTTTGATTTCTTTTAATTAAGAGAGAAACAATTTGTTTAAAACAAAAGAAGAATGCATCGAAATTATTTTGTTTTTATAAATTGAGAGAAGCGCACAGTATTTTGATCAACACAACTTTGACTGGGCTCTTCGTCTTCCACTAGCAGAAAAAAAGAGAAAATTAAAGAAAAAAAAGAAAGAAAGAATTGTAGTCTTCGTCTCGAGTGTGTCTTGATCACGGCATATTTGTACTTTAATTTTGTTACAAGAAGACACCATTATCTCCGAATCCAATATTAGATAAAGAGTCTTACAGGAGTAAGACGAACTTTTTCGCACGAACGTATTCTACGTAGGCGACTATTTAAGTTTCTTCAATATGTATGTTTTAGTATTGCCCGATGCAAACCATTTTCATATTCGTTAAGTTTAACATTTTGTAGCATAAACGTTCTCAGAACGTTTTGTCATTCGTTATTTGTATTGTTTACCGTAACATGTAAATTGCGTCTCAGCCAAAAAATGAATTTTACTCGTGAAAATTTTCGAGCGATTATTTTTTTCCACTTTCGATTGGGTGTATCACAACAACAGTGTTTTGATCAACTTCATTTGGCCTTTGGCGATGAAGTACCAAGTCTTCGGACAATTTATAATTGGTACAACGAATTCAAGCGCGGTCGCCTATCGCTCATCGACGAGTTCCGCGAAGGTCGTCCAAAATCAGTTGTTGTACCAGAAAACATCGATGCTGTCAGAAATATGATAATGGAAGATCGTCATGTAACATATAACGAGATTGAGGCATCCCTGGGCATTAGTGCGACCAGCGTATTTAAGATTTTACATGAACATTTAGCTGTCAGAAAGATTTGCTCTCGTTGGATGCCACATAATTTGACAATCGCTCAAAAAAAGGCTCGTGTCGATTGGTGTAAACAAATGCTCAAGAAATTCAATCGTGGTGTTTCAAAATCCGTGTATTTTATCGTCACTGGTGACGAATCATGGATCTACGCGTATGAGCCCGAAACTAAACAGCAGTCGACTGTATGGGTCTTTCAAAGTGAAGATAACCCAACAAAAGTTGTTCGAGCTCGAAGTGTTGCGAAGCAAATGGTCGCCTGTTTTTTCGCGATAAGTGGTCATGTGGCAACAGTTCCACTAGAGGCTCGTAAGACCGTCAATTCTGATTGGTACACCACCATTTGTTTGCCCGAAGTGTTTGATGAAATAAGAAAAAACAACCGCCGTCACAAAATAATTCTTCATCATGATAATGCGAGCTCTCACACATCTCATCAAACAGTCGATTATTTGACCGGTCAAAAGATCGATTTAATGGGTCATCCGCCGTACAGTCCTGATTTGGCACCCAACGATTTCTTTTTATTCCCGAGCGTGAAGAATAAACTGCGTGGTCAACGATTTTCATCGCCCGAAGAAGCAGTTGATGCGTTCAAAACACACGTTTTGGAGATATCACTTTTGGAGCGGCATGAATGCTATGACAAATGGTTCGAGCGAATGCAAAAGTGTATTGATCATCATGGCGAATATTTTGAAAAACAATAAAACCATTTTCGATGAAACCCCATTGTCTTATATATGTTTTTGAAAAAACTTAAATAGTGACCCTCGTATATATATTCGGCATCGAAATATTCTTTAATTTAATAGCAGAAGTACTCGCAAAAGATTTTTCACACTATCATGATGAACTCATTTGTACGACATTTGAAATTAAATTGGGAATACGACCGTACTTTTTGCATTCTCTAGAATCTTTATATTCATATTAAGTCCATGAAACACGATACATGGTTCGAAGAGAGATTGGTTCATCTTTAGACACATGCTGAATTTGTTTTGAACTTAGCTGTCCAAAACCATTTGAGACACTTTTTCGTAAATCCAATTTGTACGCCATCGTCAATGGAAATTTTTGTGCAAATTGTGTTTGACAGTAGAGTAGGAGTCCCGTTAAGTCTCCTATGTGTATTGGTTGATATTTTTATTTTTGTTTATGTAGCGCAATAAACGCCTGAATTTAGTCTCAAAACTAACCTAACACATGTTAGTAGAGAAATTACGATAGCAATCGAAAATTTAAAGGAATCGAATGATTTCATAAGGTGAATGACTTGATGATGAATGACTTCACCTTTGAATAAAATATTTTTGTTCTTTTTTTTTGGGTATTTGTTTTTCTCATTGGAGTTCCATTAGTGCCAATGAGACACTCACGAAATCGACGCGAAGCAACGGACCCAAAAAGAGTCAAAACTATACTAAGAAATGATAGAAATGTGCGTTATTTTCTGAGTTGAATTCGCTCGTTTCAAAAGATTGTTTTCTCTTTTGCATATCTTTGGGGATTTATGTAGCTTCACTATGGTTTCCACATTACTGTCGGCACTCCGTCACAAAATTTTGTCATGAATTTGGACACGGGCTCATCGGATCTATGGGTACCGTCCGTGAATTGTCAAGATCCTACTTTATGCAGTTGAGTACTGTCTTCGGCTTGTATATATTGAAATGTTGTCTTAAAACATTTATTTGTCATCATGACGAAGGAACTTACTAAAAATTGCCACTCTTATTGTAGATTGAATTCACCAATATAACGCAAATGCATCGTGGACGTATAAGCCAGCTCTCGGTTCACGTACAATGTACATTCAGTTTAAGTTACAAAACGGGTGGATTGAGTGGACTCAGGGCTTTGGAAACCGTTTAGGTAGTGATTTAACGGCGGCGATTCTTTCAAGTTGCCATAAAATTACGATTTGTCTTCAAATAAGGCGCGAAGGCAACAAAGAGCTCAAGTAAAAGTATAGATGAAGAAGAAAGTGTTTCTGGCTCTTTTGAAGACGAATCTTTTTTTTCATTTCTTCTATATGTTATCATAAGTCTTCATTACACTCACCATTTCATTGTTATTTCATTCAAGTTCGCCGGATTAACAATCAAAGATCAAATAATCGGTGGAGCTCTCTATGAACCATTCGATTCATACAATTATCCATTCGATGGTACATTTGGTTTTGGATGGGGTCGTATTTCAGCTACAGATCCACTATCTACACCACTTGACAATTTATACAAACAAGGTCAAATAAAACGGCGAATGTTTTGCATCAAATTACATGAATTGAACGACAAACCGGGTGGCGAATTTATAATTGGTGGATGTGATGTTGAACTAAATTACTGGAAACCACTGACGGTGACCGGTTTCTGGCAAATATCAATGTCGAAAATCGAAGTGAATACAGCGGATGGTGTTAACAAACTCACACTTTCCAACAATAAAAAATAAAGAGTCTTACGGGAGTAAGACGAACTTTTCCGCACGGTGGTAGTTGCGTATTTTATTAAGAAAGTTGAAAATAATTTTCGTTCGATTTTTCAAGCCTTTCAAGCGGCGTAAAGTTCGAGACCAAAAAATATGTTTCAACTTTGGTAACGAAATATTCTTTAATTTAATAGCAGAGGTACTCGAGAAAAGATTTTCCACACTATCATGATGAACTCATTTGTATGAAATTTGAAAGTATTCTATTTTCTAACAAAGCGCTATAAAAATATGTCTGACGTTAATTTTGCCATAAAAATTATTTTTTAAACATTTTTCATAACTAAAGTCACAAAAAATTTGGATTTTTGTATGGGAGCCATGTCTGTATGCTACCTTAATGGTGTGAAACTTTGCACAGGTTATTTTTTCACAAAAAAATAACATTCGGAGGGTTTGGAGAAATTTCAACCAAAATTAAGAGTACCTCAGCCTTTGAGCCAAAAACTGAAAATGTTGTATGGGAGGTACCCCTCATTTTGATTGAAATCTCTTCAAACTTTCAGAATGTTATTTTTTGTGTAAAAAATAGACTGTGCAAAGTTTCACGTCATTAAGGTAGCATACAGACATGGCTCCCATACAAAAATTCAATTTTTTGTGATTTTTTCAAGGAAACTGTGACAAAAATTGATTGTATCTCAAAACCAACCTCGGATTCGGATAAGTATGACTTTTGGACGAAAATTGGACTCTCTTTCATAGGTATCACTCCAGGCATGAATTCTTTTTCCATCAACCAAAGTCGCTCAAAGTCTGATGATTTCTATTCCTCTGGACCCCCAATCATCCCGTGAAGTCAGATTTTAAATAACTTTTTTGGGGGGAGAGTTATTGTGTTAACAAATTTTGCGTACGGCGGACAACGTTCAACGTACAACGTACGACGTGGAACAGACCCACAACAACCATGCTCAAAACGGCCTGATTCGGGTTCTCTGACATCAGAAACGTCCAGAAAACATGTTTTTGAGGTTTTGTAAATTTTGACCCATTGCAATACTTTCCCCTTTCACACTAGGTGTGTGCGGAAAAGTAACAATATCAGGCCTTATTCGACACTGGAATGGCTTTGATTGGCGGTCAACCAGACGAATTGGATACAATCGCCGATAAAATCGGGGCTCGGTTTGATGAACATTCCAAAAATTATGTAATATCATGCGAAGATCAACTTGCACCATGGGGGAGGGGTGTTTTAATAATATAAATTTTCACTGAATAATTTTTCTCTTTTGATTTAGACCTAGGGGCTTAATACGGCAAAAAAATTCACAGGAATTCACGTAAATTCACACTTTTGAATCGAGTGGTTATTGATGAGTTCGGTGAATTCGTGTGAATAGAATGAAATGTGTCAAATTAATAAAGTGAAGGTTTTTCAATATTTCCGATTGTTTTCGATAGAAAATCGCTCAAAATTGAAAATAAAATTAATTTATATTAAAAAAAATATAAAAAACATTTACAATTTTGTTACACAAAATATAAATATTGCAGTAATTGCCAGCAGAAACTATTCACCACTATTTCACATATTTGAATGAAATCGCCATAGAATTCACCGGAATTCATTCGTTTGCAGAAAAAGTCAGTTAATTTAGATATTATTATAGAATTCAGTCATTGAAAATTTTGAATTAAGCCCCTAGATTTAGACTGTTTGCAATATCGGGCTTACGAGAATGGACGTGTAATATCAGTTTGCTGATTATTTGCTAAGCGATCCATTCCTTCGAAAATTGACCGTCATATTTGATAAGGACAACAATCGATTGGGTCTCACTGATATAAAATGATATTTTTAATTGTAAAAAAAATGTTTTAATCGAATTTTCAATGAAAATAATTGCTTGACGAAATTGATATCAAACATTTTGGGTTTCTTCACTCGTTTTCCAATTCGACAAAGGTTTTTTATTTGATTTTTATTAATATTTCATTAAACAGTTACTACTTTACTGACTTTAAACGACGATTTGTTCGTCAAAAGATGGTTTGATCAATTTACATTTGCCCAGAACTACATCAAACCACAAATATTAAATGTAAATGGCACTAGTTCGATCACTCGGAGCCAAATTACACTGATTATAAATGAACAAGCTCTTCAGCGTCTTGTAAGATACGATGCCAAAATGCGACGTTTTCCTTTTTTGGAGACACTCCGGGTATCATGGCATTATTTGTAATGTCTAGGAAATTAATGCGATGACCTTGCACTGGTTTATATCCTCTAATTGGGCTCCCATTGACCGTTGGTCGTCTGAAAATGATGACAAGGTTTATATTTTATTTTCATCGATGCAAATATACTCTTCTATTCGAATTGGATGTGTATTAATATAAAATTTCTTCTAAAATATGAATGAAACCCAGGGGGAGACACTAAGAATAAATTTCGAATCCACTATATAAATTACTAATCCAGCTATTCCACCAATCCAAAAACACAAATGTGAAATCGAAACTATTTTTGCTATTCCATGCACTGTTTCCGTCAAAAATGTTAATTCTGCTTTCCGCACTATTCCACTAATCCATCAATAAATTCCATGCACTGTTTCGCTATTCCACGCGAATCCATCCACATGAGTTGCTATTTCATTGCAATTTCTCGAATCTTTACACTAAAAGTCTAATCCTATTCCACGTGTCTGCCCCCTAGAATGAAACATACCCATGCTTAGCAAAATTGGCGAACATCTGTGTCATGTGCTGAATGGTGTTGTAACTTATTTTGCTGCTGTCATCATCATGCATTGTGTTCATTATGTTATAATACACGGAATCGATAGAATGACATCTTACATGTAACAAAGATTCAATATCAATTATTGTCCATATGGCATTGAAATTGTGCGATCAAATCAACTTCTATCAATTAAAATGTGTTTATTTTTTATTGCTATCAATTAGTGTATTTCTTACCGGAATATATAGCATAAATCATCAAAGTGATTTGCTCCAGGCCATTTGATGTTACTTTCTTGTTTGGCATAGTTCAATTTTGCGTCGATTGAAAATCTAATAAAGAAAAAAATGTTGATTTTTCTTCAATTGTTTTAAAATGCACACCTTTGAAATGAAAAAAAAATATCTCACTGATAATAAAATGTTGGTCGATTCGAATGCATTGCCTGAGTTTTAACCGTTTTATCAATTGGTGATACCATATTGAGATCGGATATCATATTTACAAATTGCATGGCCCTATCATCTACTTCGGTAACATTGGACATATAATGATATTTCACACGATTCAATAGTTGACGATACGAAGACTAAATGTGAATAAAATTAAAATTAAAATTGGTTTCATATTTGTAATATATTGTGTATTATACGCACATTTGATGTGAAGTTTGGTTTCAATTTATGCACCGGTAAAACCAAATCAAATTCATCGAGAAACTTATTCAAACGAGTCGTATTTGAAACATCAGCCCAAACCAAGCCAATATTTTCCTATGAGAACATTTGAGATATAGTATTAAACTTTCTTTTTAAAATGATAAGCTCATCATCAAGCTTATCACACTAGAACGGAATTATTAATTATAAAATCCTTGCAAGATGAGCTTTACAATTATTGCTTCTGTTTACAATCAATTTTTTCCCGAAACGGTTTCTCAGGTCAATAATATGTGAGGAGGAGCGCTATAAGGAGACTGTTGTGCACAGTCCTCCTACCGACTCTGTATTTCTTCCCAACATTGAATATTGAAAACTTACGTAATTTGTAAAGCCAAACATTGTGCTGACATTCATTTTATTTGGATTACTGTCATATAAATCTTTGGGTGGTTTTAATAAAATGGGCTGAAATGCTGTTTTTTCTAAATAAACAACAAAAGTTAATAAATGTGTTATGTGTCAACTCAATACATTGAAACTTACGTTCAATGACTGGTGCCCAATCAGATGTCAATGTTCGATCAAATGTGCTTTGTGATGTTAAATTAACGATTTTTTTAGCTGGTACATGTTCAACAAAATCAACCAATTCACTCATATTTTGAATTGATGCATTGAATTTATGAGCAAAATCGTACATCTTCTTTAAGTGACTGCTTTCGTCTAAATACGAATGGAAAAGAAATGCAGATCCACTTAAAAAAATGCCACCACGAATCAATTTTCGTGATTGTTCAAACAGAAGATGATAATGAGCCGATACAGCACCTATTTTGTAATATACAAAAAAAGAAAATTCTATAATTTTAAATAATTAGTGTATTTTGATGTTGTGATATAATGTGTTCGCAACTCCGACCGATCGCCGATCCGATCCGAGCCGAAGATGCTCGGAGAATGGTCGGCATCGGAATGAATTTGCCATCGGATTTTTTTCGGAGTTCGGGTTTCGGAGTATTGTTCGGAAGTTTTCACAAAAATGAACATTTGTTTTCACAAAAATCCAAAAACTTGAATGAATTTTTCATTATTTTTATTCCCATTTTAACTAAATGTCATTTTTTTCTCAATTTTGTTCAAAATATTGTATTAAATTTTGTCCGAGCACTCGCACCGAAAAACTCCGACCACCGATCCGAGCCGATCCGTGGTTGCCACCGTTGCTAACAGTTACTAACATTCATTTGATGGACACCACAAATGTCAGGGAATCATGAAAATTACAGTACAAGAAAAGAAAATAAAAATAAGATGCATATTGTCATACCAGCACTTTGACCCATTACAGTTATTTGTTGTTCGTCTCCACCAAACGCTTGGATATTATGATGTATCCATTTCAATGCTGTATATTGGTCTTTCAAGCCCATATTTCCCGAATGATGTGTTGTTCCAAGTGACATAAATCCAAACGCACCCAAACGATAATTAAATGTAACTAAAATCACTTCTTGTTCCATGAAAAAATCGGCCCCGTGAAAGAAGTCATTGCCAGAACCTTCCGAATAACCACCTAAATAAAATAATAATAGCAGACAATATATTGAACTAACTGATCAGCTGAGCTGACAGTACGTTAGCTAAATGGGTTAAAACAATAGAAGTTATTGTTATAATGACCTCCATGAATGTAAAAAATGATCGGTAACTTTTTGCTCGTTTTAATGTCTGTTTGAAAAAAAAAGAAAAATGTATTTTATTCCTAATTATTGCAAATAAAATCAAAAGCAAAGGAAATTTGCTCATTAAATACCAGGCACGAATATATTTAAATACATGCAATCTTCGGACTCCGGTCCATTATTGCCGAGGGCAAACGATTGTTGTATACATGAATTTCGATACTCAATTGTGTCTAATGTATTTGGTTTCCATGCTGCAATTGGTATTGGTGCCTATTTGAAGACAATTTCACGGAATTTTGTTTTATTATTTTAAATTTTATCACATCGAAGTACACACTTATATTGAAGTGGAAACATTCTTTTTTCTAGATAAAAATGTCAAGTACCTTAAATCGTAAATCATTGATTGGCTTTTCAGCATACGGAATACCCAGGAATGCATAATAAATAGTATTTCGAAATAACGTATGTTTTTTTATACCTCGAACATCGCCGTCGTGCGTTTTTGCCGTTTTATATAAACCACTACTTTCATTGCTTACATAATAGATTGAAACAAACAACGTCAAACCAGTCTATGTATTTCGGATGGATATTCATCCGAGATATTTTAGAATATCTGGATATTTGATATTTGACGTTTGCGTCGCACATATAATCTACGGTATGTCGCTACACGTAAAATACAGACACAGTGTGACTGTGTACGTGCGGCACTTGATAGACATATACGTCGCGACATACCGTAGATTCTATTTGCGACGCACACAGCTCTGGCGCTGTGCAGTTGCGTTGAATATCCAGATATTCTAAAATATCTCGGATGGATATCCATCCGAAATACATAGACTGCGTCAAACACAATGAAATAAATAATTTCATTTTAAATATTATATTTCTCCAAGTTTAATACAAATATTATTCGCAGAACAAATGCCAATTAATTTACTCCAAACTGATTCGCGATATGTTTTTTTTATTTTATTGTGAAGTGGCTCAAAGGTATGGAATTAGTATTTAAAAAACTTTGACTTTACTTAATTTCGACCACTTCGTTTAGAGGTTGAAAATCACAATCTACAATTTGATTAATGAAGATGATAAGAAACATGATAAGTCTAAACAATATTAAGCCAAATGATATGATAAATGTGCCAAATTTGAAGACATTCGCTCGAAATGATCCGCAATAAAACCTATTTGATTTCACATTTGCGTTTATTCATTTTGAAAGTGTTACATTTCTTTCATTTATCAATTATCTTCTATCAAAATGTTTCAATAGTTCATTCAAAAATTGAATGGAAAGATAAGGTTGGTCTAAACATTCGATATGAAAACGTTTTCATGACACAACAAATGGTTAATATCAATGTGTTCGTCTAAAATCCGTCAGTTAGAATCAATTCGAGCCACGAGTCGATGCACCAATTCGGCTAAGAAGTTCTGTTGATTGTTGACCGCCTCAATGACGCTGTCATGATCAACCGTCTCTTCGCTCTCATATTCTGCAATGCATTTGTTCGTGATAATGCTAAATGCAAACACTTTTATACCGCAATGATTCGCCGTGATGACCTATGAATTAAAGTAAAATTTCGAATGAAAACAATTGCAATTAGCATATCGTTTCAATTGTGATTTACAATTACTTCAATGCAAATGTGAACTAACCTCATGTACCGTTGACATGCCAACGCAATCAATGCCAAATTTTTTTAATAATTTCACTTCGGCGATGGTTTCATAATTCGGTCCTCCTAGACACGTGTAAACGCCTTCATGAACTCCACTGTCGATGCCCAATTC